CATCACCTCTCTCGCGGTTACGAGTTCTCATCCCCACAGCCGACTCCGATTCACGCCACGGCCTTCGTCTAAACCTTGCGGCCATCGCGTGTCGTTCTCTTAATTAATCGTCAAGTGTCTGTTAATCTAATAGGATGGAGGGGGGGTGGGGTTGGGGGGGGGCACCTACCCCCCACCCACCCACCCGCTCACGCACGCACGCGTTCTGCATACATTACCGACGCCCGGTGTCGCTGTTGACAGAACTGTGCACGTGTCAGTCGAAGGATCAAAATCTACGCATTAAAAACATTCCATGATTGTGCATCCCCCCCCCGTCCTTGAGTCATCATTGATGTTTGGGTTTTGGCCCCGGTGCAACCGCTCGTGGGGGCCCTTGTGGGGGGGGGGGCCTGGTGGGGGGGGGGCATGGTGGGGGCCATGCACCACCAAATGTCCCTTTGGCCCACACACCCAGGTTCTCTCTCAAGCGGCGACTCAGTTTGTTCTCCCTCCGCACCTCCGATTACGTGCGGCGCAAAAGAAGTGCAACATACATGCAAAGTCCCCCCCCCCCCCATATCTGAGGAGCTGGAGCCGCACCTGGTTTGACAACGCATGATCTGGCCATATTTGTGTCAAGACTCGCCGCCACCCGGCACAGCCAAGGATTTAATACGACGCGTGTGAAAGCGATTAGTGTGCCAATTATGGTTTGGCTCGCCGGTAGGTTGAAGGATTTGACGCCAAATTTACCTTTGGGCCCTCAAGAAGTTTCGTCACAACGCACGTGTTGCGTAACCTGGGGTGCCCCGTGGCTCGGAGATGTTAACTCTCGCCCGGTATACAGAAAGTTGTGGGTTCCATGCCGACCCTGACGCCGACTATACGGAGTTTGCGGTGTCTCTCTCCCTTATGGTCGTGTGGGTCCTCCGGTTTTCCCCTCCACGATGAGAAACACGCGTTTAAGAGTGAATTTGCCATAAATGTCCGGCACGATAAGCCACTTCGCTGAGCTGTCGTTTGCGATCGCCAAGTCGCTTCTGAAAAAAGATCTACACAGCTCAATGGGGCCTTACCTGGTAAAAAGAAAAAAATGAACAGTTCAACCTTTCGATTTAAAGCTTTCGTGCCTGGTTCTTTCGGTTAAGTCACGTAGAAGTGAAATAATAAAATAAAAATAATTATAGATTTGAAGCTTTCATGACTGCAAGGATTCATACTCTTAGGTTTTCTTTCGGTAAAATCACGTAGGTAAAAATAAATAATAGAAATAAAATTATAAATCACGACGTTTCGGAGGCAACACAAGTCTTCGTCATCAGGTGGGACCGTCACAGCTACATTTACTATATCAAGTGAGGCAAAATTCCGAGAGACAATCTCTTAAATACAAGTTAAGGGGAGGGGGGAGGGGCTTATCTGAATGTGGTAGCCAATAATAAAAATAAAACATTTGTATTATTTCCCTTCTACGTGACTTTACCGAAAGAACCAAGAATATAGTTCAACCTCACCATTGGAAAGTGCGCCTTTTGGCGTCATCTGGTCCAACCCATGTGAGACTAGGCTCTAAGGAAAGCTGTCTCGGGTGTGGACCAGTCAACTTCAAGGACAGTGCATACATTATCAGAGTTATGTTTTTTTGTTTGCATTATGACTGCAGGTATTGCGGTCTATGCAAACATTACTGTAAAAAAAAGGTGTCAGTTTTGTTGCCAGATAGAAGGGTAAAAAACCAATTATCATAGTTCAACCTCTTGAGCACGAGGCTCTGAGCCTCGCTGTGGGGAGTGGGCATCACAGGCTCGTCACGGCACGCTGCATTGGGGCAACTTTAGTCACCCCGTGGGGCAGCGCCCTTTGCCGCTTGTTGCAGAGGGCTGTGTTGCGTTTCAATGCCCTGTGGCCACCCTGGTCAAGTGTGCTGGTGCTTTAAAAGTAAAAACAAAACAATACCGCGTGCTATCTGCTTCACAGTTGACATTGAAGATGCCACGAAGTTGAGGCCATGCGTGGAGCCGGCGCCGCGAATTTGAACACAAACATATTTTGTCTAAATTGTCGCCCTCCCCTCGTACTGCGAAAGCTGGGCAAGGCCTCGCCTGAAAAAGAGTTTTTTTTTAGACTCGCCGAGGTTAGACATTGTGATAATAATCTCAGTATGAATAAATAAGAGAAGGGTTTACCCTTTCTGGCAATAAAACAGCTGTTAAGATGTTGAAACACCAAATAGATACATTTTGAAAGGAATCATGTCTTCATTAACCACACGTACTTGTGAAAATGCAAACAAATATCAGATAATATATGACGCAGTCTTTAATAATAATGTAACTAGAATGGGATATCCATTGCCTTTGCAACTGCTTGGTCTACACCAGAGACAACCTTCTTTTGGGTCGAGTCTTGTATCATATTTTGTTTGTTGCGGTTGCACCAGACTTAAGAGCCGCATGGCTCACAGGGCTATACCAGCGTCAGACCAGAGAACACCAAACGGCGAACTGCACAAAGATAATGCCACCATCAGAGCATGTAAACAGCTCGGTGTGAGCAGCTACAAAATGGGAAATTTTTTGCCAGTATCAAAGTATGAAAAAAACACATTCCTGCGGAGGGAGCTGGTAGGAACGTTGGGTTGCTCGGTCAATGGCCAGGGTCAACGGCGGCGTGGTGTATTCCACAAATATGCCCGACTGTGAGGGCGGGCACAAGCCGGCGTGAGTAGGTTAAACGTTGAGTTTTATAAGGGCACCACGGGGTGACCAGCCCCTCCCCACCCAGCCCCACCCCTCCCACCCCTCCCACCCAGCCCCACCCCACCCAGCTTCACCCCTCCCCACCCTCCCCACCCAGCCCCTCCCCACCCACCCCTTTCCACCCAGCCCCACCCCTCCCATTTTTTGATGCACGACGGACGGACACAATAATCCCCTGTGGGCTGGTGTAACCAGGAGGTTCCTACCAGTGTAATAACCTCTTCAATTACAGCCTCGCCACCGCGATAACGTCACTTGTAGGGGCAGCACAAGAACGATTTCAATCTCGCCGCAGCTTTAGTTGCCCAGACTTCAACCTCGGCTCAATCTCGTCGGATCTTGGAAGCTGAGCAGAGTTGGGGGCTTCTAGATTTGAAGCTTTCGTGACTGCAAGGATTCATCCACTTTGGTTTTTTCGGTAAAGTCACGTAGGTAAAAAATAAAATAAATGAAAACAACTCATTTAAATCACGACGTTTCGTAGGCAACACACGAAGACGGAAGCTTGTGTTGCCTCGGAAACGTCGTGATTTAATTTAGTTGTTTACATTTATTTAATTTTTTTACCTACGTGACTTTACTGAAAAAACCGTGCGTTTGGACGAGGGGACCAACGTAATGAAGGCTTGTAACAGGATGTCGTTGGGACTGCGAGGCTTTGTGCCGCGTTCGTGACCAGCAGAGGGCGGTACGGTCACATCATTTGGTTCCAGGACTCCGTGCTGACAACCAGACTGGTGAAGTCAAGGCGCCCTTCCCCCTCCAACCCAGCAGCTTAAATATACGCTGCCAAGCCTGGTGGTGTTCATTCAGACGCTGTCTTTCCGACAGACCTGTTCTTATTCTGTTCTTCACCTGAGGACGGCTGCTTGCGTTGTGGCCGAAACGTCGTGAGAATTATTTTATTGGTTTATTTTTATTATTTTATTATTTCCCTTCTACGTGACTTTACCGAAATAACCAAGAATATGGTGAAGTATGTTCAACTCGGCCGCTGGGAGACCCTCATCCAGCAGTGGATTGACAAAAGGGGCGTTCTGAGAGTGCGTGTCAATCTCACGACGATTCCCAGCACCTACCGATTAGCACGGTGCGAAAGACAATCTTCACTCAGGGGCCGTCCATAAATGACGTCACGCGATTTTGGACGATTTTTGACCCCCCCCCCCTCGTCACACGGTGTCACAAAAAAGTCAGACCCCACCCCCCCTCAAATATTACGTCACAAAGCTCTGCCCCACCCCCCCCCCCCAAATATAAAACATGCTTCCAATCGCTTCAAACTATTGTCATTGTAGTGCGTATTTAATGTGCCGCTGCACTCTGTTGTCGGAGAAAACATTTATACTGGTAGGAACCTCCTGGTTACACCAGCCCACAGGGGATGATTGTGTCTGTCCGTCGTGCAGGGAGGGGCTGGGTGGGGAGGTTGGGGCTGGGTGGGGAGGGGCTGGTCACCCCGTGGTGCCCTGATAGAACTCAACGTTTAACCTACTCACACCGGCTTGTGCCCGCCCTCACAGTCAGGCATATTTGCGGAATACACCACGCCGCCGTTGACCCTGGCCATTGACCGAGCAACCCAACGTTCCTACTAGCTCCCTCCGCAGGAATGTGTTCAAGAAGTCTATTTAATTAAGTAGAATGTGTTTATATTAATATAAAGTTGCGCATTTTGATGTGACGTCACATTTCTCACGCCCCCCCCTCGTCACAAATGTCTGACCCCCCCCCCAGGTGCGTGACGTCATTTATGGACGGCCCCTAACCTGCAGCCTCGCCACACTTACCACAGCCTCGCCACCTGTCGCAATTATCCAACCCCACCACCTCACCACGACCTCACCACCACCTCACCACCATCTCACCACCACCTCACCACAATCTTACCACAACCTCACCATCACCTCACCACCACCTCACCACCTCACCACCACCTCACCACCATCTCACCACCACCTCACCACAATCTTACCACAACCTCACCATCACCTCACCACCACCTCACCACCACCTCACCACCACCTCACCATCACCTCACCACCACCTCACCACCACCACCTCACCACCACCTCACCACAGCCTCACCCGTGCCATCGCAGCCTCACCGGAGCTGCGCCGGCAACCTCGCCAGCTCACCACAGCCTCACAGCAATCTCACCACGGCCTCTGCCAGGCTCAGGCGGCGCCTGTGACACGTTCGTAACGCGTGAGGGTTCCACCCGCAGCCAACCATGGAAGGGACGCCACCAGCAATCATCGCTTTAAAACAACTTTATTTATTTACAAGTCAGGGGGGGGGTGGGTAGTAGGGGTGGTGCCATCACCGGACGCAGACGGGCATCGCCGGGAGGGGGCGGTCAACAAAGGTGGGCACCGGTGAAACCAGCCGGTGAACCCAGGCGGACCCCCACCATAGGCCCCCCCTTCCCCAGCCCCTTCAAAGCCCCCGCCCCCCCTTGCTCTGGCACGGGGAGGCAGAGCGGTGAAGGCTTTTCGCGCTCAGGTCAGGCCCTAGTGGGCACCTTCGCCCCTTCAACGCCACTGGGCCCCCGTGGGGTTAAGGTTCAGCAGCATCAGTGGTCACTACACTTAACGCCCCGTAAAAAGACGAAGCTTATGTTCTATCAAGGGGGGGGGGGGGGGGGGGGAATCTCACCGCGGCTACGGGTTTCATCAACGCTACAAGGAAACAACACGAACAAATCACGCGTCGACCATCTACAGCCTGAGTTTTTAGAAGGACAAAAAAACAAACGATAAAACATTTAATAACAACAACAACACAGGAGCCCCGCGCGCCGCTCGCTCGCTTAGCCCGGGACGCTCGCAACGAGAGGTCCAGCTTCTTGGCAGCCAGACGGCTCACCAGCTCGCTAGCCCTTCAAGCGCCCGCCAGCTCACCAGCACGCTCACCAAGCTTAACCTGCCGGCCGGCGCGCTCAACGGTCAGCCAAGCCCAGCCAGCCCGCTCACTTGGCCACCGGCCAAGCGCGCCATTGGCCAACCAGTCCTGACACTGGCCAGCCCGCTCACTGGCTTTCCCGCCAGCTGGCCGGCTCGCAAACTGGCCGGCCGGCACGGATGCCGGCCAGCTCGCTCGCGTCCCAGTCCAACCGCCAAGCCTTTGGCCTGCCGCACGTTGGGTTGTCGTGCGGTCGGGCCCGGCCGCGGGATAGCGCGCTCCTCGGACGTCGGTTATTTTTCAGCCTCGGTCATCGTCGTTGCGGTGGCGGTGATTGGTAGTGGTGGTGGTGGAGGCGACCGTCGCCTCGTGCGGAGCCGGCCGCGTCAGGGGGTGAGGCTGGACGGGGCCCCGCCGATGGCCCTCTGCTGCCGTCCGGTGAGCTGGGCCTGGATGTCCCGCAGCTGCTCGGGAGAGGCGAGGCCCTTGAGCGCGGAGTTCTCGCGCTCAAGGTGCGAGTTTCGCTCCACGAGCTCCTTGATCTGGTCCTTGAGCACCTCCACCTCCTCGCGCACGGCGAACATCAGGTGGGACTTGACGAGGTCCTGAGACGGACACGGGGGACGGGCGGGGAGGAGAGGGGAGAGGGGGGCGGCGGTTAGGACAGAGGTCACGCGGCAGCGAGGCTTTGCCAGCTGTCCGGAATCGGTGTGCGTACAACAGGTGGTGGGTATTGATTTGGACCCAGATCTGCTGCCAGTGCTGCGTTGACCATCATCGCAGTGGCCTGCACAGTTTTGATACTCGACCTGTATGTATGTATGTTGTATGTAAATTGAACTTCTTTCGCACCGTACGTAGCCAACCGTGCTAAATCTGTTGGCTACGTACGGCTGATGAAGCTGGTTGTAATTACTGGCGAAACGTCGTAGCTCAGATTGCAAATGTTGTGGCTTTGCTCTCCAACACACCGGTAAGTGCTGTACTAGTAACGATTTGGCCACGTTATGTTTACGTGACAACCCTTACAAATTGGTTGTGTCGGGTGGTGGTTGCGGGTTTAACGACACATTCATATTTACGCGATCTAACCCAGAACAAAAACGTGTATGATGGATAAAGTAAACATCGCCCGGCCAACCCCAACCGTTTCGCGACTGCAAAACTACTGGAACCAGCCATAGTCGCACCTTCCTTTACAAATACGACTCTGTTGGCTTCTGAGATCTGACGACAGGGCCACATTCCTGGTCATTTGCTCACAAGCGTGTGTGGGTGTACATGTGTGGGTGTGCGTGCATGCTTAGTGCGTCATAAAACACTCAAAATAGATCTTCGCCCTCCATAAAAACCTTGCACGAGCTGCGTCACTGGCGCGTAAGTTCAGTTGAGTTGTCATTAATTGATACGAAAGGAATTTACAAACCCCCTTGTCAATCCACCACTGGACAAAGGTCTTCCAACCCACTTAAAAAAGTCTCCTTGGCAAGGTTCGGGCCTAGGTCAGTGATGGTGGAGCTGTCGAACTTGGACATGCAGAGATCGGGACAAGTGTGAGAGGGACAGGGTGCGGTGTGTCTCTGCTTTCTGTCTTCGCTGTCTGTCTCCTATCCGTCCGCTCTGCCTCATCCCTGATTTGTCTCCGTCTCCCACCGTCTATTCTCCACCGTACGTCATTCATGTCCATCTTCCACGTCCAGCTGTCGTCCCGTCTCGCCTGTGTGCCCTGTTGTCTCTCTGCCCCCCTCTCTGTCTTCCCTGTGTGCGTCTGCCTGTCCGTGTCACCTCCTAATTGTCTGCCTTCCCTGCCCACGCCCTTCCGTGTCTCTCCCATCCCGTCTCTCTGCTCTTTCCCACTGGGGCTGCGTCTTTCTCCCTGGGTTGCCGTCTGTCTGTCTCCCTGTCTCTCTCTTATCGGGTGAGAGACAAAAACAAACAAACACCAACCTGGTAACACGGGTAAATATTTAACAAGGTGGATGACTCAAGTGCGTGGGTGGAGTGCGCGCGTGTGTGCGCGTGCGGTCGGACGTGGTGCTGGCCACCCACCCCCTCGTGTGTCGTCTCAGCTTTCATAGTTGCTACTCCCTAGCAGCACCTGCCCCAACCCTCGCTACACACGGGGGATCTTTGTCTTGTGTGCGTGACCGGCTGTAAATGACACTGCCGTACATACACTTTCGGGGTAATAACGCGGTCGTTATTCAAGTCTGCGTCGTCTCCACCGAGCGAGCGGGTGGGGAGAGTTTGTTTGGAGCTCTTCCGACTTCCCTGGGCGGAATGACTTGGCAGGGTGTGGTCATCACCAGGCACGCGCTTAGCGGTGGCTTGGGCGAGACGAGGCGGGGAAAGGACGCAAAATGACCGTGACTCAAATCTGCCGTTCATATCCCCCTTTTCTGGGGGCTCTGCGGGTCACGAAAACCGCTAGAGAGGAGGGGAGTGGCGCGGTGGGCAGGCGGGGGGATTCCTCGCGTCTCCACCGGCTTATTCCGCTAAGAAATAAGTAAAGCAGAACGAGTTTCTTAATTTAGTCAAGAAATCAAGAATGTTTGGTTGCTTGGGTGGCAGCGGACGTGCAGACGAACAGCACAGAGTTGACGCGGCTGTTGATACCGCTGCTCTGAAATTAAATAAGTATCTCGTCGGTGACGTTTCGGGGAAACGGGGCATGCTTACAACGTTGGCCTTTTTGTGTTGCTAAGATGTTTTTGTTTTGTTTACTTTAAGGGCAGAGTTTATTGATGAACGCTTGCGATGCTTTTAGCTGGGACAGCGACCGAGTGCCCTTTAGGAGGCCTTTGCGGGTGCCTATCTTAGGCCTCAAGAGCAACAATGTATTCATGGGGGTCGAAGTTCATCTTCTGTGGCCATGCTGTGATCCAAGGCCGTAGCCATGGAGTCAACATTGGAGGGGACCAAATCTTCCAGGGGGTCTAGGGGTCCCCCCCCGCCCCAGAAAAAAAATCTAAATTTGAAAACTAATTTCCTGTCTAAAATATGAAAAAATTCACTAACACATGGGATGGACTTTTTATTTCTTTTTTTTTACAATAATGTCTAATAGTGCATTGTATTACATTGCTCTGTTTTTTCTTTTTGACCTTTTCTTGTTTCATTGTATGTAATGGCAGAGATTAGGGATTAATAAAGTACAAACATAACCACAATCATATAAACAGAAATCTATTTTATAGCAATATATTGGGGGGTAATTTTGAGCATATTTGAATATTGGAGGGGGGGGGATGTCCCCCCCTCCCCCAATATCTATCTTGCTGTGACCCAAAGGGTGGTTAAAAACCCTCCACCGCTCTCTGCAGAGTTCCCAATGCAATCGTTTCTCCAGCTCAGCCACCGCAGGACGGATGTCGACAGCGGAATTTCAATTTAATTATGGGGTGCGGCAAAAGAGTTTAAAAAATGTTTTAAAGTGCGTCTATTTTTTTTTATGTGTCCTCGTCTATATTAGTCACCGCATAGGGCACGCGCGGGATACAATGCCACAACATCAACGGTACAAGCATTACCAAACCACGGACATTAAGACATTTCGTACACCTGTCCGCCGTCCACTCTCGAGAAGGCTCATTGCCCGAAACGTCAGCCTATTATATTAAATCTTTGTAAGGCAAACCTGCACCGTGGTTACCGGGTAGGTCAGACGGGCGGTGGGGGGTGGGATACAAAACACTCAGGGGGGTACGAATGACACAGTCGGTGTCAGACGCGAATCTCCCCGTGTCCATCCCTGCATTCTGCAAGGACTCTTTAACACCCAATTCTGAACGTTGGCTCAATGTTGTGACAACGTTCCATGTTTACCGGGCACAGTACTAAGAACAAAGCTGTCAACCCACATGGTTTACCCCGCATTCTTGTGAAGTTGAGTTTTCAGGTCCATACGGCGTACAGCCGTTTCGATACTGGCAAAGAATGTGTCTATTTGTTTGTGTTTTGGTTCTTTCGGTAAAGTCACGTAGGTGAAAATAAAGTAATAAAATAACTACATTTTTTTTTATTATTATTTTTTTTTATTTTCACCTACGTGACTTTACCGAAAGAACGAAGGAGTATGGATCCTTGCAGTCACGAAAACTTCAAATCTAGAATTGTTTGTGTTTCTCTCCTTGTAGGATGAACTTTGAGATGTATAAGGACACGGGGTGACCATTGATGTCTGAATGTGTCTGTAATAAAAGGTAGGGCACTGATAAGGGGTTTACAGGTATGTAGTGTAGTGTATAGTCGTGGTGTATAGTAGCAAACCTGTCAACCCGTGCAGTTTACCCCAAATTCTTGTCCAGGGAAAGTGAGTTTTCAGATCCATACGGCGCACAGCCGTTTCAATACGGGCAACAAAATGTTTTTTGGACTACGTGTTTGTGTTTCTTCCTTGTGATGGGACTCTGCTGGATGAACGTTGAGATTTATAAAGGGCACGGGGTGACCAATAAAGTCTGAATTTCTCTGTAATAAGGTGGGGCACTGATAAGGGGTTGACAGGTATGTGATATGCCCCGGATTCTAAGACGCTCTGGAAAGTTAAGACTCACCCCTATACTTTGTGCCCCGTTGTCAAGTAAAGTTATCGGGATCTGGTGTCTCTCACACACCTCCACAACTACCTGGTTATACGATGCATGCCCCAAGCGATGCTTTAAAATACAGAAGGGGGGGGGATTGCATCTTATAATCAGAATATATAATAAATATTATTACAATATTTTATCTACCGGGCCAACTCAATAGGAAGGGTACGAGTTAAAATTCTGATTGTGGGGGGTGGGGTGGGCCTAAGCCCATCATCCCTGTGGGGTCGATAAAACGAGCACCACTTTGTGTGTGGGAGATAGGTCAACAGCGATGGCCTTGCACACCCCCCGCCATAGCAAGGTGGAATTCCCACCACTGGCTCAAGATATGAGCAAGAAAATCAGACTTCACGTTGATCATTATTCACAAAGGGTAGATTGGAGGGAGGCTGAGCCGTTATCAGGTTGGATACAATGATCAAGGGTCATTGCCCGAAACGTCGACTATTGCATGGGGGGGGGGGGGCTTGCTTGCTTGCAAGCCACAGTGTGTGACCACACGCTCCGTGCAGCTCTGTGTGAGCGAGCCGCCGGTCTGCTCCCTCTTTATATACCGCGTCCAAATATAGCCCCGACTCGAGCACCAATCAGCAGCCTCGAGCCACTGACAAGCCGCACCCCCTCGGCTCTCCTCATCCGCCCCCACCCCCTTAGACCCCTACCGCCCACACAACCACACCAAAGACAAAGATCCCCCGTATAGCCTGTAACAGACTGTTGGGGCAAGTGCTGTAAGCGAGCAGCCACAACGGCTCACGACGGAGGTTTGGGGTGGCCAGCACCACGCCCGACCGCCTTTGTCTCCCCAGTGGCGCTGTTTTTATTAGTTTCCACGCATCGCACCGGGTACTCATTTGAGGCCGAGTCGACCTAGGGGAGGCCCAGAACCGGTTCAGATAATTCATCGTCACCGGTGTTGACCGTGAGCGGGAGTCGAACCCGCATCTCCGGGTTTCGTAGCACGGCGTAAAGCGCTAACCGCTGCACCACCGCTCCCTCCCCCCACCAGCACCACGCCCATGCCGAGAACAAGTTGTTCCTGTGGCCTGCCATGCGGTGAGCAGTGTTGGGGTTGTGTGTGGGGGGGGGGGCAACGAATGGTCGCCCCTGGCAACGCGGGGTAAACACAGCGAGGTTAGCCGCGACTGCTACTGCCTCTTTGCTCGCATGTCAAGGTGCTGGGTGTCAACACCGGTGACGATCACCCTGAACCGGTCTACGCCTAGGTAGACTCGGCCTCGAATTGGTTTGCACGGTGCAGCGCGCGTGTGTTTAAACGTCGCCACTGCGGAGAGACAAAGGCGGACAGGTGTGTGGTGCTGGCCACCCACCCACCCACCCCCTCGTGTGCCGTGCCGGCCTTCACACTAACAGCACTTGCCCCAACAGGCTGTTGCAGGCTACACGGGAGATCTTTGTCTTTGCCTCTGGCTAAGCCTTTACCTGGGTGACCCCGTGTGTCTGTGTGCCTGTGTCCGTGTGTCTGCATGTGCATGTATTTGTGTCTATTGTGTGTGCCTGTGTATGCTTGTGTACAATTAAATATCTTGCCGTGTGCATGCCCGTGTGTCTGTCTGTCTCGTATGTTGAACTTCTTTCGCACCGTACGTTGCCTGCGTGTGTGCGTGTGACTGTTTAGGTAAATGCATGTGTGTGTGTGTTCGTGTGCCTGTGTGAATCTGCCTGGAATATCTGTCCACCGATGCAAAATCTAATGAGCAGAGGTGGAAAAAAAAACTAAAATATTCACAACTTCTGACAGCCCCCCCCCCCCCACCATTCTCAAGCTGCACTCTCCGAATATTGAACCCTAGCCCCCCCCCCCCCCCCCCCCCCAATAATCAAGCAGGGACTCACCATGGCTTGCTCAATCTTGTTGTCAATCGCTACCACGCTTGCTCCGGACGCACTGTGAACACAAAAAAACACAAGCCATCCCAGAGTTAGTCAACACTCACGGGGGGGTTCAACCACGAGACTTTGGGGGGAGGGGGTGCCCCCCCCTTCGGACCCCCGTGATCTCCACAGCTCGTGTGGACGTGACAGCCGCTTCCAACATCTCCAGCCAAGGAGCACCAAGGAACTGAAAGCCACAGGCCGCTAGCGAGAGGAGGTGGCAACAGGAGGAGTGGGGGAGGAATGGCTGACGACTTTACAACTCTGGGAAGACGACAACGAGAGGAGGATGAGGATGATGAGACACCATCACAACAACAACGAGGGCGAATGGAGAACCACGTGACCGAGAATAAACGGGAATAAAAATCCATAATACAGGTTTTTTTTTGGTTTAGATCGCGTCAATATATAAATGTGTCGTTGAACCCGCCACCACCCGACACAGCCAACTAGTAAGGGTTGTCACGTAAACAGAACGTGGCCAATTCGTTACCGGTACAGCACTAACCGGTGTGTTGGAGAGCAAAGCCACAACATCTACAATCTTGAGTACGACGTTTCGCCGGTAATTACAACCAGCTTCATCAGGCAACCGCCAGGTTTTGGGTGGTGGCGTGTTCAACGAGACTTTTATAATATTTACGCGATCCAACCCAAAAAAACAACAACTATTATTTATAGACGACATCGGCCGCGAAATCCTACGCGAATAATACATCAGAGTACGTGGCCGACCTGTTTAGGGCCCCCTGCTGTGAGAAGGATCAGGCCGTGACACGAACATCTGGCACGGTGATCATGCGGGTACCGGTGGGGGGGGTAGGGGGAGGAGGTGTTGGGATACGTTCCAGAGGGCTAGCCCAGGAGAACGAGCACAACCGAAATGTTGTTGTTGTTACCTGTGGCTGAGACGCACGGACACGCAATCCGCGCCCAGCAGGGACACGAAGAACGCCACGGACACATTGTGAAGCTCAAAGGCTCCCAGGCTGCTCGCGGTGGCGCGGGTGCATTCTTCAGACATCTTCATTCTTCACCGGCTCTTCTTCACTAGCTCCTCTTAACTAGCTCCTCTTAACCAGCCCTGGGTGGCTCTTCGCTTTGACTAGCCAACGGAGACCCACTCAAATCCACCGACCAGCTAGCTACCTCCTCGCTGAGAGCAATGGGATTTTGTTTTTGCGCTCACAGAGAGCGAATATTCGTTGGAGCTGAGCGCGCAGGCGGCTAAACAACACGGCAGCAGCTACCGGCGACTTTGGAAACCAACGAACAGAGAAGAGAGAGAGAAGAGTGAAGCCTGGTTTCTACTCGGGAGATATTCACCAACAGAGAGACACGAGAGGGTTTCTGAAAGCCACTGGGAGCGAGAGAAAAAGAAAGCCACGGGGAGAGAGAGAAAGCCACGGGGAGAGAGAGAGAGCTCGGGTCCGTACCCTTCGAGAGATCTAATGCAAATGCGGTGGAACCCCTTGGCCGACTGAGCGTGACTGCAACGGGGAGGTGGTGGGGGGGGGGGGTACACGGTGGGTGGAGGGAGAGGAGAGTGAGGAGTCTCATCTGGTTCATTCCAGCCTGGGCTGGCTGGGCTCCAGTGACGTCAGCAACCTCTCCTCCTCGTTGCCTGATCCCCCCCCCAGCCCTCCTCCCCCCCGCCCTCCATCCCCCCCTCCACCCCACCCCGCCCTCCATCCCCCCCTCCACCCCGCCCTCCATCCCCCCCTCCACCCCCACCGCCCTCCACCCCCACCTCGCCCTCCCCCGCCCTCCACACCCACTCGCCCTCTCTCTCTCTCCGTCAACAACATCACCATCATCATCACGAAGCACACATTCATTCGTCACTGCCACACAAGGAAGATGATGATGATGCGGTGCCATATGGCGACGTTTCGGGGTAATGCCCTACCCCCCCCGCCGCAAAATAAAAAAAAACCCTCAACGCATTTGTCAATAACACTGCCTCTGTAAAGGGAAAATATATAATGGGCGGCGTTTGGGGCAATGTCCCTTCTTAGTAGCAGAGAGATGTGGCGAGCCAGACAGACATTGCATCATACCCACCGCGAGATACGTAGTGATATGTGCATGGGTTTGCTCCTAAACATCAACAGTCGGGTAAACGGTTACGTGTCTGTCTGACCATATGCCAATTGGAAGTATTTTTGTGTCAGCATCTGGAAACATTCTTCAACTCTTCTTAATTGCTGCCAGGGTCCCGTCGTGGTGTGTAATACTGTGGTGTATCAACGCAGGCCTCCACCTATCCCACTCACTCAATCTTTCTTTAGGCCCCGTATATCTCCGCTAAGGTCCCATTGCCCGAAACGTCGCCTTTTAAATGCGCTCGTTGCAGCCACTGCCAACGCCGAGTGGGCATGGCAACAACGACAACCACCATAACAACAGCCACAACAATTCCTCCTCTCTGCGTTTTACTCTGCGACCGAAAGAAAAACACGTGCACATGACGGAATCCGCCAGCAAGGGGAGGCAGAGAGGCAGTGCGTGTGCTTGCTTCGGAAGATGATAACCTGATGCAGAACAAATGTGGGAAATGAATAAATACTTAAATAGACTCTCCAGCAATATGCGACTGTGGTCATCCAGAACAGACCGTGGCACCACGTGGAACCACGCAACGCCCCGATCCACAGCTTCATTTATTTATTTTCATTTCATTTATTTGGTATAGCCCTGTGAGCCATTCGGCTCTTGAATCGGGTGCAGCCGCAACAAACAAAAAACATGAAACAAAAACATGAACAAGAAAACATCTTAAAGTGACTATGCGACTATGTGCAAACAGAAAATCCAGGAAAAGACGGCAAACTATTCCGCAAAAAGCACCGTACGCCAACGCTGTGTGCAAAAATCCCAGTGGGATGCAAGTCAAACAACAACAACCACAACCACAGACAAGTGGGAGACGCCACGGCGATGTCTGGCTTTACCACGTGAATGTGAGATTGTAGCTGTTATTCTGCATCTTCATCATCAGCAGCAGCAGCAGCCGTACGACAAGAAAGAAGGAGCAGAGAATTGAGGCAATGGTGCAGTGGTGTTCATCCCATGCACGAACAGCACTCCTCCTTCACAAATCGAACATTAACGACACAAAGCCAAACCCCACAGACCCACAGAGACACACGGAGATACCTAGATATACCCTCCCCCCCACCACATAGAAATGCGTAGATAATCGTGGAGACAAACGTAGATGCAGAGATACTCATAGAGATAACGCGAAAACAGAGACACCGAGTGATACGTTAAAGACAAGCCACGATAGAGCCATTGTGGCCTTGCAAACCGAACTGTGGCCCACGTAGCGACCCCACAGAGACACACGGAGATACGTCGAGACCACCCATAGACATGCGTAGAGACACACGGAGATACGTCGAGACCACCCATAGACATGCGTAGAGACACACGGAGATACGTCGAGACCACCCATAGACATGCGTAGAGACACACGGAGATACGTCGAGACCACCCATAGACATGCGTAGAGACACACGGAGATACGTCTAAACCACCCATAGACATGCGTAGAGACACACGGAGATACGTCGAGACCACCCATAGACATGCGTAGAGACACACGGAGATACGTCGAGACCACCCATAGACATGCGTAGAGACACACGGAGATACGTCGAGACCACCCATAGACATGCGTAGAGACACACGGAGATACGTCGAGACCACCCATAGACATGCGTAGAGACACACGGAGATACGTCGAGACCACCCATAGACATGCGTAGAGACACACGGAGATACGTCGAGACCACCCATAGACATGCGTAGAGACACACGGAGATGGACTCGCAGAGACACCGAGAGACACACATTCAGGATTGTGACCATGCTACGTTAACGGAGGAGAAACTGCGAAGCTACACGAACTCTCTTTCTGCTGAAGCCCTCTCGTAGTCGCCAGTAGCAGCTCGCTAACAGCACTTGCCCCAACAGTTTGTTAAGGCTATACGGGGGATCTCTGTCTTATATATAAAAAAGCATACTGTATTTATATAAGTGACGTTTCGGACAATGACCCTTCTTCACAGAACATTGAGGCAAGGCGGAGGTGTAGAGTGACCAGAGTGAGTCTGTGACGAGACTAAACGAAGTTGGTGCTTGGCTTTCGATTTAAAGCTTTCGTGACTGCAGGGATTCATCTTCTTGGTTCTTTCGGTAAAGTCACGTAGAAGGGAAGTAATAAATTAATAAAAAAACATAATAAAATAATTCTCACGACGTTTCGGCCACAACGCAAGCAGCCGTCCTCACATGAGGACGCAAACAGCCGTCCTCACCTGAGGACGGCTCAGGTGAGCTCGCCGATTGGCTAAGCTGATAATATTGGGTTTGGGAATTGGGCACCCCGCCCCCCAACACACCAACATTTACTAATAAGTAAGAGTGCTGTACTAAATGTGCGACGGTTTTAATTCACCAGACTAAGACAATGTGAAATCCACACATTCAAGATTTCATAAATACTCTATGGTCTGTCGTCGACCAGACAGAGACTGTGACAACAAATACAAACCCCATTTAAATGCTGGCTCGATGAACACTGGGAGCAAGCCATCACGAGCATCATCATCAGCCATCATCTCTCCCATCACCCCCTTCCCACTACCACTCACGCCACAATCAGCGCGTCCACACAATAACACAACATCACACGGGCGAACAGCCCAGCAGACAACTGGACACGGGCAGAGAGACGCGTTCGAGACAAACACAGACACGGCGCCAGACACCGACTAACGCGGCCAGTTCATCAACGTCGTCAAGACAAGAGGCAGTCAGAGACGCAGTCAGAGACACGAGGTCAGAGACGCAATCAGAGACACAGTCAGAGACGTAGTCAGAGACACAGACGCACGCGCGGACACAACACCTGGTCATAATCAACGTGTTTGGGTTTAGATCGCGTTATTTATAAATGTGTCGTAACCCTCCACCACCCGACACGGCCAATCAGTAAAAAAG